GCCATATCGCATTCAAATGCCACTGCGAATGTACAAATGGAAGTAGGGTGCGTGCCGCATGCCAAAAAGGGAATGATCAACGACAAATGCTTTATTCTTATCCGTATCCATGTGGAACATTATTATACAGTGAGCGTGAATCCCTACGCCGTTTAGCGATCGCAGTGCAGTGTATGAGCATCGTTAGGGAACTATTTATGCTGTTGTTGTTGCGAGTTTCAGTTTAGGCATGACCATGAAATTCTATTCAGAGTTTATCCTTACAAATGGAATATCTTCCTATCCTCCTTAACCCTTTCGTCGTTGCTATCTGGAACAGCTTGCCTGTGCCACGTAGGTTAATGATTGTTGTGGTCCTTTAGTGATTTCCTCACATTTAGTAGGAGTTTAAGGCGCTATCGCAAGATACGGGGGCATCGAGGCTGCAGATCATCCACAACTGCGTAAAGCATCTTTTTACTTGAATGTCGAATAACAGTTTACGACTCCAGATATTTTTATTTCTGAAAAGCTTCAAAGACTGAATATCGAAAGCTTTCCAAAATAACTTGCAATATTTCGGTGCTTAGCACCTTCGTCAGGCCTGAAATAGCTTTCTAGAGTCGGACAATATACGAAATATATATGACCAACTCACACGCATTCGCCTCAGTAAATTTAAACTTACCCGACGAGAAATAAAGATAGCTTACCCCGCCCGTATTGCAAGTCATTTTGGGAAGCTGATATTCAGTCTTTTAAAACAATAAAAATTTTCGGAGCCTTAAACTGTTGTACGGCATTCAGATCCTTATGAGGCTTCGGGACAGCACCATACTAAGACATCTTCTTACTAATAAAATCGGAACTAGCGCCTTACAATTAGGCAGGAGGAGGACACTCCAGGGTACGAGAGCAAATTTCGTTTTCCGCAAAGTTACTGGCCTCCTAGGCTTAGTCCTTCAAGATGTTCCCATATCTTGCAATAGAGCCGAAGTTCTGTATTCCGATTTCGGTTTTTCCGACCCCCAGTTTTTCCTCAGGCACATATCGTCCTGCTCGTCGAGCTGTTGTTTACCATCCGATTGATAACCATTGATCAAATGCTACAGAAATCATATATTGACCTTGACTTTTTGACAAACCATGTTCAAGGAATGATTTTGTTCGTCCAGGCAAGCCTGAAGACTGCTCCAGAAAACGAAACTCTGCCCATATGAGGTAACCCTACCTCTCACAAAATGTGAACGGTGTGATGGGTGAGGCAGAGTGCTTCCATTGGCCAAAGCTAAGGCTTTCGTGCTTTTTAGCGGTCTTGGGTCAAATTCACCCTCGCCAGAGTAGATAACGGCCCAGTTATCAGACTCAGTGTTACACAGAAAGCTCAGATTTCCCTCTTACAATTCATGGTTTTGAATCGTGCCGTGTGAGCTCCGGGAAGAACTACGGGGTTCTGCACACGAATCACGGATTGAGTTGCGCTCATCTACGTCTAGAAATTGAAATGCAGGCTGTTCCACCCTTTTCCAAACCCACCTACAGCTGAATAATGAATTTGCTCATTGGAAAAATTGAAAATTGGATATCGTGCAGATAATTCTGCAACCTTACGAAGCTTTTTCCGCTTGTTGTCTTATTTATCAGATTGATGATGTCTACAAGTTATGTAACACTGCTTTTTTGATTTCGTTTTTCATTTACTGATTCCATATTTAGACCCTATTAACATACAACATCCATCCTTCACCATATTTCTAGCTATTTTTTATTTTGTTTTATTTTATTATTTATTTTCCTAACGAATTCCCTGCATTTTTGTAGATATTTGAATGATAGAGTATGTTTTGCTTCATCTTAATCCAACTTCAATAAGGAAGTACCTAACCGTTTCTTGCAAAAATATAGTGAATATGTATGTTTTGCAGCATAGAACAGCTCACGCGTGGGATTTTTGGATAATTGGATCTGGTCAAAAACGGAATTCATGCTATTCATCTAGAATGGACTCGAAAGATAATGCCTAGCTACTAGCTAAAAGTACAAACACCGTTTCTTGGCCTGAAAAGCAGTGATTAGTTATTACTACGTTTAGTAGTTCATTGGACCAATCCTTACTTGAATGAGGTTGCTAGATCCGCAAATAGAAAATCGCTTGTAACTTTGCAACTCAAAAGCGTGGCAAGATTGCAAGGGATCGACACCTGCATTGACACAAATTCCATGCATCGAATGAGGATTCCACGATAAGGTCTAAAGTCGAGGAAGGGGAAACATACTTAGCGGAATGACAGGCAGCTCCAATAAGAGTGCAGGTCGACACGCCATTTGCAGCGGAGAATGACCCCTGACGATGTAGTATAGCCTTCCCCGCGGCGCCATCGGCGCGGCAAGCCCACCGACCATCTAACCACTCCCCAGTGGTTTAAGCAGCTGTTCAGAGTTAGCGTTACCGTTGAAGAGGGGAGCGTCGACAAGGGACGCTTCAATGCGGGAAGCAGCCGGCAAAGAAGGGTTTCCATTTTCGGGACTGGGCCGGCTTCACATGGATTTTTTTCTCGTCACGGCACCACTGACACCACTCCTACCATGATTTTGATAGCTCCCTTCTAATCGTAAACCACGCCCTCGAATCATGCTCACTGCGAGCTTTGCCAGTGCATTGATGCCTATGTTTCACTCATCCCCTGTCCTCAATGATGTCCGGTTCGCTCTTATGGCTTAGCATCCAGGCACGAGTCTCTCAGACTGTTTCTCGCAGGTTCGCTTGTCTCCTAACTGGCGAAATCCCCCAGACGAAAATGTTCTCAAGAAATTTATCTTCTTTTTTTCTTCACTCGCAAGTCACCTGTTGGCCACAGTTTCATATTTGAAGCCATTGAAGCTGCTTCAATTATTGTGGAGTGTGCTTTTGAATGACCATAAGAATCCTGCAGCCGTTCGTCCTGCTCATTATAGTTACCCAAATAAGAAGTGTTAGCAGGTGGTACCGCCTCAGTCGAGTCAAGGCGGATCTACGAGGAAGATAAAGATTATTCTCTTGGAAAATGCCGTTTATTATGTATTTATGAGAATTTCGATCGCTATCGTTGGAGAAAATGATAAGAATTCGAATGAAATGATTATTCATTGGCACTATTTATGTAGAAATCCCATAATTTGTATCTACTTACTACAAACTCGTAGTGGACATGGCGTAAATAAACAGTTGTAGCCCCGCCTGGAAATTCTATTGTGTTTAGATTACTCGGTTGTCTGGTGTACAAATCCCACACCCCACAATCACTCAGACCCGTTTGCGTTCCTTTCTCTATTACAGCAAGGTGATTGGGAGAGTGTTGCAGGTTTCTACGTCTAAGTCACTTTTATTTCATTAATTCAGCCCGAATGGCTATTTATAGCCATACACGGATAAATTGTGAATGAGTAAAGGAAACAAGAACGAGTGAGGTACCATTACGCTGTCAATCTCTCATTCATCAATGGAAGAAATATTTCTAGCGTGTGCAATAATTACTAGGTAGGCATTCGCTGAGTTTAGAACTACGATTAGTGCGATAGCCATCATTTTAAAGGGGTGCTTCACGAAAAAATCATGATTCTATTTCAGCCATAAATCACTGGCTTGAGACTCAAGAACGAAAAGAACAGAAATATTGCTTTTGTTTTGGTAAAAAAAATCGAAAAATCGAAAGGGCTGCTACGCGTTCAAAGTGCCCACGGACGTCTTTCACAAATGCTGGCGACGGGGATGCTTCCACTTGGTTCTTGGAGTGCCTTCACTAGAAACTCTTTCTGGCCTTCTGCTTTATTGCATTCACATCTTACACTTCTACTCCATCCTATTCTATCGATCGATTTGTCTCTACTCTCCAAAATCGCGCGCTTTAACCCGATTCTTTCATTGCGTCGCCTGATACGTAGCCGGCCAAGGCCACTTCTTTCCATGCCTCGCCTTTGGCTCCGCCCACCTTCGATTGTCCATAGAGTGTAGTTTTTGTACGTTTGTTTCTCTTCGGAAACCGAATCTTCATGCGTGAAACTTTGTGTGCTGTTTCCAGTGATCACAACTGACATATTCATGTTAAGAAAGAATGCAAGAATTTTCCGCGAAGGATTCCTTTAGAGCTTCTCGTCGTTGGGCGTTCTCGTCGTTTTCGTTTCCAAACAGATTTTCCTTGCGTATACATTATGCTTCATGTTGAGCACGATTTACTTCAATCCATCGTTGAACTTGTATTCGTTCATTACCAGTAATTGTAGTGTAAATACTCTCATTTACAGGGCTCAAGACATGTTATAGCCATGACTGGTAATGAAACAATCACAACCGAATCAGCGATCGAAGACTCACAACAACTGTTGTATCATGTGAGTTTATGAGGTTACTAGAACTGAGTAGTAGACATTCTTTACCATGCAGCCGTTGCCAGTACACTCATTCAGATTTTGTTTTTGGCCAATAGCACTCAAAAGCAGTGATCATGATAGGTGGTGGGCGATGCGATTTTGATGATCATCGATTTTGGTGGACTAAGCCTCTCTGAGCGCTCAGGTGTGCTTGGGACCACTTCTTCACGCCCTTCCACCGGTCACGTCCCATGACAACATCAAAGGCGCAACGCCCTCCAGCCATCGTGATCGCTGCCTTTAAGTCCAAGAGAGGTTGCTTCGGAAGGTGAAGACTAAACGAACAGCGTTTAAGCAGTGATTAGTACAATAGGTCCTCCTAGCTTTGAAAAGGGCCTTATGCATCCGTTCCGTGTAACAACGACGATTAAGTTCTGAAACATAGATTACATTAGGATAAGAAAATATTAATTTAAAATCTTCGTAGCTCTAATAAATTTGGAAAAACTGCAAAATTTGATGTATAATTTTGGTAGTGACGTATCATGCATTACTAAATGAGCCTGTTTCATCATTGACGATTAGCTCTGGTGCCTGCTGAGATCGTGAAGCCTTCCATCAACCGTTACAGCGTCGATCATGAGCGGCAATGAGGCCCTATTCAATGCCATTATGTGGCCATTTATAGAATCCCACGTTATGGTTTCCGCCCCTCTTATAAAGTTCGTATTCATTTTTCCACAAAAATGCCGAGGACCGTCCATGCACCGCCTTTCCCGATAATAAAGATGGCGGGCCTTGGCTCCGCAACAACGGAGCCAAGGTTCTTCTACCATTCAGAGCTCGTAGAAAGTCTGCTATGGGCTTAGAACTAGCATCCATGGACACTTCAAGCAGCCACGCACGTCCACATTTGCGATATTTGCCTTCTTGCTTCCAGGAATACCCTCTCGTCTCCTTTTGTCGATAACTGGCCTTGTTTCGAAATTTTTCAAACTGTTTACCTCACGGCTCTTCTCCCACTCAAACAAATCTCTTTATCCTGGGCGTTCTAAGTGAATTCTTTGCCTTTCTCCTTTTATTGGCGAGTCAACGGTTCCTAGTGTTTCATGTCTGAATCGCATATTTATTACAATTTTCTTCTCGTGGATATGTCTCCAAATAAGCATCCGACTCCATATAACGAAAGTATGCCAACAAATGAAGGACGGTAGATGGAGGTGACCATTTGAGAATGGATTTACACCACGTTATGACTTTTTGGACGTTGAACTTAAATTCCATTCCATATATGGTGAACGGTTCTCTGAACAAGGATGATACAGAGGTGTTTGTGACACGGAACAAACACAAACTAAGTAGGAGTTGAAGGATGACGTAAGAGACCAGACTGCGCCGGTACCCTTCCGGCTACTATGCTGCTCTCGTATGTGCAGAGCCAAGGGTTTTTATTCTAGGCGCTTGCGGCTTCCTGCAATTTTTTAGAAGTGTGTCAAATTGCAGATGAGCGATGATAGAAGGTTCATTGCAATCTACCCCTGTAAATATTTTACGAAAATGCGAGGAAAATGTGCGGGCGAACTTGATCTCGTGACGTCTGTTCCGCAAATCCGCCTCTTTGACCATTTGTAGAACATGAAGTGGAATACCTCCGTAGTTCTGTCAACAGCGTAGTTCAGAAAACAGTGGGGCAAATTTGACCCAACGTCTGAAGACGCATCAGGCCACTTTAACCTACCATGCTTTCTTAGTAGGGTATGAGTCCATGTGTAAGACCCAAGAATAGCGCATCGTGCCTAGAAAATAGAGCATCGACGATCGTTGAGTTGAGTTCTCTTAAAGGAATCTTCCACGGAAAAAGCTCCGCCTCCATTACCACAGAAAAACGATACCCCTTAGGCCCCTAGCCTCATGAGCATAGCAAAAAGAACGGAACATAAGCGTTAGTTTCGATAATACTAATCCTACACACAAGACAAAATGATCACTCTTTCCGTGGAAGATTCCTTTAAGGTATCGTTTTCTGTGGTAATGAGGGCGGAGCTTTTTCCGTGGAAGATTCCTTTAATTTTACTCTACTTTCAGGCATTAATTTCGCATAAATACATGTGTGTATTTAACTTTTCTAGGAGCTTGCGAAGAATGAGTTGTTGAGCTCTAGTAAGTAGAGGTGTACTGCGTCAGTTTGATGATCCTTTAGTTTCTTTGTTACGTCTACCTAAAACAGCATTACATATAGGCAAACAAATAAAATACATAAAGATCTTTTTCATGAGTCTATGTGTTGATCCGCTCCGATCCGACCATTAGATATTACGTCCGACGTTTGTAACACCCTGTTTGGTAAATAAGAATATTAGTTCTTCTAGCCTTCGAAGGTTTCCTGAGCCGATTGTAATTTATGTCTTAATTGCTGCTCTTTCAAAGTTATGGAGCTGTCACGCCACGTTAGTCTTCAGACACGCAGATTACATCTCGTGCAGTTGAAATCGACTGAACTTGCTAATTATAAAATTAAAGGATGAGTGTGAAGATTAACAAGGCGCTGTAGTTTCCAAACACTCGGGGATTTGTATCCAACTTTCGTTTTCAAGCCTTCTATCCTCAGCTTTTATTAATTCACAGTCAAAAACTTCTCTTTCAATATTTTCCACAGCGTCTTCTGCAGAAATACTGTTCATTTTCTCAACAATTTCATTTCAAAGATGTACAGCATCGAGACTCATATTACCGTTTCTCCTTATACTTTAATGCTACTGCACTGAAAGTGATTCATTTTCTCGGAGTAGTTCCCCTTTCATGGTAAACAAGTAATGTTTTGGTTGCAGCAAGACACGACAACCTTTCCATAATTGGATTTTTGCATAATTTTTAGTCTAGAAGTGTTCATTCACTCCCACGCTTTGTTCAACTCTGTGTTTTATTTGATAGCATTTTTTCTCATTTCTCTGTTTTCTTACAATTAATTTTCGTTCTGTCAACCCGCAAATTTGGTCTTACTTGCTTAACACATTCACGACGACGCCCCTTTTCCACTTTTCGGTCGCGTGGGACGGACGCGATTTTGTGGGCGCCGCCGCCTCACCACATAACCGCAGATTTTGTTTTGTAAATGAACAAAAACATGAATGTCACAAAATAATTTCCAATGCGTAAAGATTATCTAAACATATAACAGTAGGATTTCGATCAGAACGACAAATAGTGGTTACGAAAAGAGAGCATTTATTCACTTTCCCCGTGAAGGAATTTAAAAGCATTTTACACTCGATTACGAGGTTTGCCCACCTATCTGTCCATTCCTAGCGTTGGCAGCCCATATGGGCGGCCATCGGAGCACGAATTAGGCGTCAATGGCACTAGGCTCAGCTATTACCTACTAGCATTCTTCCACAAATGATCCTTCCGCAATGACGTCATCGAAACCGCTCCGCCTATAAGACATCATGTTCACTGTCTATAACATGAAGCTTTTTCACCTAAGAGTAAATGAAAAAAAGGGAGCGATGATGTTCACGTGAATTTAGCAGCAAGTAGGTGGTACCGACTACCACGTGTTCGCGAATGGCGTCCATGAATTAAAAAAATTAGGCTCCTATTTCGCAGCTTTCGCGTGACCTTCATTAAGTACTCGAAGTCTTACTATAGGAACCACCATGAACTCGATCAGCCTTCAAACGTAATCTCCTCCCTTCAATCAGCC